TTAAATTGTGTTCGTGTAGTTTCCTGCAACAAGCAATAGTCTATTTATCGAATGATTGCAGACGAAATTCACGTCGACCAAGAAACATCCGAACATTATCTTTTTCATATATATTCTAATAGCGATCAATTAATGCGAATCCATAAACTGATTTTGTTTTTTGTACCCAGTCGACAAACTCACCTCAACCCAGGCAGCAATGGAGTTGTCTTCAGGACGAATGGCATTGACATTACTGCTGTCATAGTGATGACTTGGTGCAACAACAATTGTCGGTGGAGCATAGTACGGCTCGTGGAAGCTCACGGCCTAAAATTGAAAATCTTCATGTTGCCTTACTGACAAAAAAGGGAGGGTGCTTTAAAAGAATGTTGATGTGAACAGATGAAACGAATTGCATCTGACACAGTCCTGTTAGCTTTTAATGGTCGACTTGCCCTGTTATCAAATTCCTTAACTTGATCATGGAATAAGCTAGAATACCTGGCAAAACGCATTATTGTCAGCCTCGCTTGGTACAAGWGTGTTTGGAAAGTCTACCCTGATAAAGTCATGATAATTCCATGTTTGGGGAACTTCATTCATTGCCATCCAAGTCTGMAACAGATAATACAAATTTAAAAATGTATAATATCATCAAATTGATATTGCTGAATAGCTAAATAGCTAAATGATTCAAAAATTACAATTTTAAATTATGTTGCTAATGTGGAATGACATATGTCCACAATACCGTACCACATCGATGTCCTTATGGCGTCCATCAAAGGTTCTTGCTTCTCTCATACAAACAATGAAATCGTTTGTGGTGATTCCTTCCACCCAAACTGTAGCTGCATCATGCTTGTTGTCCAACACATTGTGATTTGCAGTAACGAAGACATAAGGAACACTTGGAAAAGACTAATGGAGAACAGAAGAATGAGTTGAGAGAAGAAAGAATGAAAGAGAAGAGAGATGGGGGCAATAAACACGGACTGTTTTTTTTAGATAAAAGAAATTGAGAAGACAAGTCCATTGAGACAAATAAAGAAGGAAGTTATCAACAAATGAAAAGGGAAATACAGTCAATCTGCAGTTCTATAAAAAGAGGACAAAAAATGTACAGAATGAGGAAATAGGAAAACGAGAAAGAATGCTTAAATTAAAGAATAAGAAAAACAAAAAGGGCAGAAAAATAAGAGAAAATAGAAAGAACAGAATTTAAAAGAATGAAGATTAAAAAAATTTAGAAAAAAATGGAATAGAAAGAATTGCTAGAATGTTCATAAGGACAAATTTTTATCTCTTATTTGAGCGAAAGAAAAAATAGGTGCAAGAAAAATATACTCATAAGAAACATGAAGCAATGTTAACAGCAAAACAAAAAACAAACAAAAAACAAAAATAAGCACAAAAATAAAATTAAAATAAATAAAATTGCAAAAATTAAACAATGCAAACGTGAATAAAAAAAATGAAAAAAATTCACTTACCTGGGAAAGACGAACTTGTTTGCACTCCGTTCCCGTCGTCCAGTCGTTGAACCTCACAGAGCCGTCCGTCACACCAGACTGCACGCCTTGGTAAGCCATCCAATTAATAGTCACATT